GACTCCCTTGTGTTTGTTTTCCAGCGAATGTATCCTATTGTTGTTAGAGCTTAATTGTTACATTCTTTTTAACCTGCAGGCTATGGTGAGCTGACTGCAGGATACCGGCAGCTATTCAGTGTTAGGAAATGGCTCTGAAAATATAAATCACTTCTTTCTTGGCATGTACTAGACACAGTCCAGGATATGTTTGCATTAGCAGTTGCCATATTGCATTAGGATCTGTGGTGATTAGATTTTCAGTAATAGGAGCAGGGCAAATGTATTATATAGTTATACAATTAAACATATTGTCAGACTGAGAGTGGAAGGGTGTGGTAATGGAGAAACAGGGGATAAGACAGGCTTTTCTCTGGAAGGAGCAAATGTGGAGAGGTCACGTTAGAGGCAGCAGGAAGTTTAAACAGAGTTTAAGGTGGTTGTCCCTGCCTACGGCAGGGGGGTTGGAACTTGATGATCTTCAAGGTCCGTTCCAACCTAAACCATTCTGTGATTCTATGATTGAGGAAACACCCAGACAGAACAGTGGAAATCATGTGAGCAGAGGAGGTTGCTTTGCTTTCTTATGGGAGAGGGAATGATCAACTTGCGTGTGAAGCACCAGTTGATAATTTGAGCTGGCTTAGGGTGGGCAGAGAGATGCTACAGGATCTGGTGTTGGAGTCGGTGAGAGGTGCTGAGCTGCAGAAGGCAAGAGAAATTGCATTTAGCTTAGAGAAAGAATAATGACGGAGAAGTGACTCCGCGTAGAGATTTGCTCTGCATTTCACAGAATCACAGAATGGTCAGGGTTGGAAGGGACCTCTGGAGATCATCTAGTCCAACTGCCCTGCCAGAGCAGGGTCACCTACAGCAGGATTTACCAGTTTCAGTGAAGCTGTTTACCAAGAAAGACTGGTAAAAAACTGCTAAAATTTTCAGAGCCATTGTGACTATGTAATGACTCACAGTTGTCAGTATTGTTTTCCTTTTTCCTTGTTTTCAATTCTTTCCTTTCCCTCACTACTATGAAAAGCTCCTTGAAGTTAATGTAAAGACTTTGGCTGATTTTTAGTGGACTATGGATAAGCCTCTTCTTATGTCATGGCTGAATGCTGATTTCTGAGCTGTTCCAGTTCCAGGCAGCATTTATAATTGCATGTTGTTATTTGAAAAATAATGATTTTAATTACTTTCCAGAAAGGATGATACAAAAATAATCTATATTGTTTTGCTTCTTTTAATTGGAGAACTTTTCCACACTGTAATGTGCCTGAGTAGGCCCATTACGTCATGTTCTCCATTTTATTTTCAAGTCACTCGAAGAGCTAATACGTAGTCATTGGGCTATTTTCCTTGATCTCCAACCACAGATATTTGTTTTTAAATAATGCTTGTCTTATTTTTCATAGCTGATGTGACTGATTCAGATTGGATTATTTCATTTGACCCAAACTAGGGCTGCGGTTCGAAGATCCAACCAATCTGTGGGCAGCCCTTTTTTTCTTTAATAGCAGACTAATTGGCAGACCAATTAATCTGCTCATCTGTGAAGAGAAAATTTATAGCAATAAGTAGTTCTATTTCCAGAAGTCATTCTCTAAAGTAACATTACAGTGGCCTTGTTTACTTCATGCCCTGCAACACGATCCAGTGCTTCAACAGTAGCACAGGTCAATTAGTGGACAAATTAAGCAATTATTAGCCACTAACAAGGGTGACTGGCATCATTACCCTTCCTGTTTACCAGCAAACTGTTATTTTAATACAAAGATCAACAAATAAATTAGGGCATCTGTTGTATTGCCATGTCTGCCTTGAAGTAAATGATATTAAATGGGCTTTGGTTGCTGCCAAATTCTTAACCCTGGCCTAATGAGATACACTGATATGTCTCTTGCTGATTATAGAAGCTGTAAAATTTAGTTTGTATTGATTTATTAACAGGAGGACCAAGTTCTCTGTGATGGTATTTTTTTAATAGTCTGATATCTGTCTTTTTACTTTAAATGTTATTGATCCAGAGACTATTGGGTTCTTCTGAAAGACAAAGCTATTTGCTAATTGTATTGATTGTTTGGATGCTTACAATAATTTTGTGGTGAGGTTTGTATACTTAGATGTATGCCTTCATCTGATGCTTCTCTTGTGTTCCTTGGAACTGCCTTTACTTCCAGGTTAGACTTCTGTTTTAGTTATTTTTAACTCTTGCTCTGTATTATTACCACGGGTTAAGACTTCTTCAGATTTAATTAACTGTCTCCTAAATAATAAAATACAGTAAATCTCTTTAGATCGGGCAAACTTGGCTGCAGTACGCCCTAATAGATTGTGGTACGTTGGGAAATGCTGGGTCTCGTTTGCCACCAAGCTGCTGCGTGCCCAAGGTCAGTCTCTTCCCTTGAGTCTGGTGCGCCCGGTGCGGTGGTGAATCATGCTGAGCAGAGGCTCACCCATTACGTGTTTATACAGAGCCATCCGCGTCATAGCGCGTCCTTGGTCAGGGAATAATAACTCCCCTCGTGAAGCTGAAAACTGTAGCTTCTGGTTGCCAAGATGCCTTTGCCAAGCTCTGCGAGTGAGGCTGCATCAATAACAGGAGCAAAACAAGCAGAACCTGGACAAGCCTCTTCCCTGGCACAGTTACAGCCAGGGCAAAGCTCTGAGAGTTTGGGCTCTTGTGTTACCTTCCTGAATGAAAAGCAGTTGTGTTATCCCTGAGGTACTTGTGGTCCTCCCTGCTGCACGAAGAGCCATCAGAAGTACATGCTTGGAGCACTGAAACATCTCAGAGCAACACTGTTCCACCAAGGTCTTTGGTGATGGGATGATTGTGTATACAATGCGATATTTATGCTGCTTTTATTATGGCTGCTTTGAAAGGTCATACCTGATTTAGGACAAAGTATATTCTGAACATACTGATTTCTGAATAGTTAACTCTTCCAAGTATTTTAGAAAACATGAACTCATGTGATGTTTTGAGTCTAGTTGCAAGCTCTTCAACTGAAACCAGCATAGTGTCTCAAGAAGCCATAGACTAAGTGTGGGATTGCATCCCTTTAAACAGTTTTGAGCCCTCCAGGTGAGTGTACTGTGGATTATGTTTTAGACACTGCCAGAAAACAGTTAGAGCAGCAGTTTAACATAGCTAAGCCTTTCATGTTTGCATACGGTTAGGAAACCTGGTTATTCAGGATCCAACTGTGTCCCTGTCGTTTCTTCATGTTCTTGCTGTTGTATAATGAACAAAAGACACACCACCAGCCAAAAAGCAGATCGATGTTCAGTTTCCTTCATTGGGAGGAGGTAATTGCAGAAACATTTCCTGAGCAATGTAATTATGTATATGCTAATTTGCCTCAGAAATTCAGGTTCAGTCTCTTCTCAAGTGGAAGACCTGGTTACAGAAAGGAACTTTCTCTTCTGCAGGTTTAGTCACTAAGAGATGAAAAAAATGCCAATGTTTAGAGTCAATTATACCTTGATCATCGTAGACATTCCAGAAGCCTCATTTTTCCCTGTGTGCCGCAGCAAATTAGAATTAATTCCAACAGCAGCATAGGTTCAGATTTGTTATTATTTGAAATACAAAACGGGCCTTAGGAAACAGGTTAAATGAGAAAGTTGTACAGTGTGAGATTTTGGTCCCATCTTTAACGTATGCTTCAGCCAAGCTATAAAAAAGTGTGTGTAACCTAGCATGTACCTGGGTTTTAGTTTGTTTTTAAAGATTTTGATTGGATCACAAAAAATCAGGTCCAAAGTCAGCTTTTTTGAAGTCAGCTAGTTAGCCCTTGCCATCTTTTCTATGCGGAATTGTTGCTTGTTATATCTATTCCCTAGGGCTTTGCCCTGTCCAGCGATAAACGTTTCTGATGAAAAATAGAGCTCGCCATTAGTGAAATTTTACTGATGATCAGCCTTAATTTTTCCCTGCTTAATTTTATCCTGTTACTAGAGCGTAGTGATTGATTTATTCTGGGGAAATTCAGTAAATGGTTCCTGCTTCACAGGATGGACCTTACAATAAATAGCAAATTGTCATGACCTATCTGTGGGTGTCCTGAGATTACACAGGAACTCAATTTATCTCGACATTCATTCCCTGGAAGCTATTTCTGTCAGTACCAAGTTGGTGGAAGAATAAGCAATGAATTTAACTGCCAGACTGCCTGCCTCCTGCCCCAGCACCAGCCTTGGAGCAAGGAGATGTTTAGTCGCTCCCTGAGCACAGGGCTCGGAGGCAGGAGCTGCTGCGGGGTCTGGTGCTGTGCCTGTGCCCAAAGGAAGGGCATTTAGGATCTGGTTCTCCTGTCACTTACCTTGGTTCCATGTTAAAGGAGCTTCACTGATGAGGTGTAGTTACTCCTGGTTTTTAAGGGTGTAAAGTAAGTGAAGAACCTGGCCTTATAAATTCCAGTCTATGAATCCCACAGGTTGCCTGTGCCTGGTACAGAGTTTATGTAACCCTCCCAGTTTTAGCGAGGCATTTTATATCTCTTTATACACGCAGATGATCTGAACTCTGTGTTCATGTGTCAAGGGTAGGTCTTGGCACACGCTCAAACAAATTTGAGGTGCCTCAGCTTAGCAAATTGCCACTCATGAGCTGAGCTGCAGTGTGTGCCCATGTATGCATGCTGGGTATGTAAGGTGGTAGGCTTAAACTAATCGGTTTTACTTCATTTCACCACTTAGGAGGAGAAACGTTTTGTAATTGTGGCTCAGCTGATAAGCAGTAACTTCTCCCTCTGTGGAAACTTGACTCTGTCTGGTAATGTAGCCATATTGTACTTGCATTATGAGGATGGACTAATGAATTTATCCTTAAATTTCTTACTTCTGGAGTTTTTAGAAGGTGGCAGGTGCTACATGATTCCAAGTGGTTTGTTCTGTTGGAAGCAGGAGCAGTACAGAGGAATGATCATTCTGATATTTTATATGTGAAATTTCAGATAGATATCTAGAAATCATTGATGTCATAAACCCTCTTCTTCAAACTCTTTCATTTTTCTCAGGTATAATTGATTTCCTTGTGAGCCAGCATCCTATTGCGAAAGTACTGAGAGATCATCTGGTCTTCAAGATTGCACCCATGCTCAATCCTGATGGAGTATACCTAGGAAATTACAGGTATGGTGCGGAGTATGAATCTGTACACTGTTATATCTACTTTATACACCCCACACTGTTTTGTCACTGAATCTTATATGGCTTGTTTCAATTAATTCCACTCAAACTGGAGGTTCTCATGTGGCCATGTGCTTCCTGATGTTCCTGTCAAGGAAGGGGGCTCAATGACAAATTGGCTTGCTTCAGGAGGTAGAGAGCAACCAGGGTATCTGCTCTGCAAGCCTTCTTTAGGTGTGGGAGTTAAAGCCAGCTTAGAGTTAGACCTTAGCTGTGTTTTATAAATGCATTCATTATGCTGCTCATCAGCCTCTATGTAAATGTGTCAGTCAATCACAGTTCCCTTCAACTACCCAGATCATCCATTAAAGTCACAGATTTCAGTCTATTATTATACTGTAATAGATAGGCATACATGGAATGGAATAATCATTCCACCCTATGCTAATTTTGTTTCATTTTAGTATTTGAATTACTACTTTACCACCTCCTCTGTTGAAAACGTATTCAGATAATCTTTTGTTTTCCCTAAAATTGTTTGCTCTTAATGCGTTTATTTACAAAATAGATGTGCTGCTGGAGGTGATAATGAAAAGCAGTTGATTAGTTGATGATTTGTTTGTGGGGGCAATTACATGTACCACATAGTTCTCTGGAGAAGCCCCTGAGAAATGTAATATACAGTATGTGGTTTTGCTTACAGCGCAAGACTAAATAACACAATGCGCTCTGTAGCCAGGCTACCTTGAGCTTTCATCTAATTAGGAACTGCATTGCTAAGCAGAATAAGACTGGGTTATTGTGTGGATGAGGAGACCACTGAGGAAGAAGCTAGAAGTTGCAGAAAATGGTGCTGCTGGCTGTTCTTTGTTTTGATATGTTCTTCTTAGCCCTCCTGTGCTTTGCTCCTTACTAAACTGAAATAGCAGGGAATTGCGTGGGTGATTTCAACAGTGCTTATATACATATTTTATAAGCGAAACTTCCGAGGACACGTAGTCTCCTTCCAGCTACACTGATACTCCCTCAACTCTTGGCAAATCCAAAACCAGAGAGCGATGTTGCAGTAGTGGAGTCTGACAGCATTAGGAATTTATCATAAAGGTTATGTCGCCTTACAGGAATAAAGCCCTAAAATGGCTCTAGAATCTGATACTACATTGCTTCACTCTGTTCCAGGTGCCCTGCACATAGGCAACTCCAGGTGCAATTAAGTAGCTTTTGTTTTCTCCAAAAAAATCATTTGCCCTTTGGGTTTTTCTCTTGCGCTATTATTTATATTTTTTGAGAGACACGCAGCTTTACAGACATGCATATGGCTCACAACTTGAAAAGCCTTTTGGGAACCCAGGTATTATAAAAGGGCAAGTGAATTCATTTGGAATTGCTGAGCCTGATGGTACGCTATTGTTTTAGCTTTTCATGATACGCAGATTTTTCAAGCCTCCTGAACTTAAAGAGACTTTTAATGAGGTAGTTGGAAAAGCATTTGATTTTCTTGCAATTCTTCACTTTATTTACAAATGGGCTAATGTAACTAATAACTTAAAAAATGAGGGTAATAAGCAAAATGCTACCTATTATCTTGAGAAGAATATTAGAAAGCCTAGCAATGTGCTGGTGCTGTAGTTAACTAGTGCTGAGTGAATAATTTACAGCAAACACTTTATTTCCTGCTCATACAAAATCCACAAGCACATCACAATTTATTTGCCTGAATTTACTGGATGAATTTTAAAAAAATCTCTAAGGATCAATTGCTAGTGTTTGAAAATTTAACTCTGAGGCTCCTCTGTGATTGGCTAGATAAGGCTGTTTCATCTCTTTTGGTCTTTGTACAGATTAGCACATAAATAGGACTTTCAGAAGTCTTCCACGTAGCGTGGTATAACACATATCTATTGGCTGGAGACAGTCCCCCTGCTTTTGCAAACAAGGTCTGTGGTGCCATATGCAGCAGGAACAGTTTTAGGCATTTGAACTTCTACTTCCTATTATCTCCCTCTTTCTCAAAGCAGCAGCTAGCGACTGTTTCTTTGGTTCATTGAAGGTTCACATTCAGAGCTATGCAAACTAAGATAATGAAATAGGTAATTAAACCTCATGCTTGAGTTTGTAAATTGATCTCCTGCCAGTGTGGGAGATATTTTTTTTTTTTTTTTTTTTACCCCACCAGTACATGTCTTTGTACAAAATATACTGTCAGATGCACTTCACTGTCCTCTGAAATCCCAGGTGCAGTGGGCACCGTTAAAAGCCTGAATACATCAGCAGTTCTCATAGAAGGGGTAGGATATACTAGTTCTCTTGTAATCAAAACAGGAACTAACCACTCATTTACCCAGGACGATATGGTAACAGTTGGCTGATGGGATTTTCTTCACTGTTATTTTTGGAGATGCAGAACTTTCACTCTGAGGGTTTGGGTCGTGTGCTCCTCTCTGTAATCCTTGTGCCTTTGTTCTGAGTGCTCGTGAACTGAGGTTTAGGAGTTTAAGCCAAAACTGCAACAATAATGCCAGGAATTGTCTATTGTCTATAAACCGTTGCTCATTCTCAAGAGAACAGACCAAATGGGTTGTGACTCTAAAGGGACTCTCTTGTGGTGAAATGTTCATAACCAGCAACAAGTGAGTTTAATATCACAGCTATAAAGCACAGGCGCTCGCGGCACAGGCACATCTGTGAGGAAGGTTGTTTATATGTTGCATGTACATTCGGGCGGCTCTAAAAGAAACGGTCATGGACATGAACATCAATACCCAGCGTATCAGCCTGCATGCAAACAGGGTGCTAAACTTTACTGATTTATTTAAGTATATGCAAGAGTTTAAGAAGTGTATTTGTGGACCCATACAGTTAGGAATGAAAAGACAAGGTGCCTTATGTGACTTAAAGGGGTGGTTAAGCGTCCCCTCTAATTTAGAATGTTTGGAAGGTCTATACACAATTTGTTAAAGTATTTTTTAAAAATAGACAAAAGTTGCAATTTGATTATGATCTTAGAGCATAAATCTTTTAATAGAAAGTGAATAAGTATGGTTCTATCTCTTAATAGCTATTACTTATGTACATAAACCAAGAGAGTTGGTGAAATTGCCTCTACTGGACCTTTTCCAGTGAAATTTCTGACTGACTGTTTAGAAATCAGCAGACTTGATTTTTACTTTCACTTGTTTCTTTCTGAAAAGAGCTGAGAAATGAAAAATCGTAGGCAAATCGCACTACGATAGATCAGAGTTGGCTGGGTACAAGTGTCGGAGAGGTTAGGTGCAGACAAGTGGATCCCTCAGAGCGCAAATTCACCTGCAAGCCAAAGTCCTGAATGGCTAATTGGGATTGCTCCTGCTAGCAGTGCTAGCTCTTGTCTGCTGGGTTGCGAGCATCATACCCTTCTGTAAAGATGACTACTACACTGCAATCTGTCTTCAGTGAAAAAAACCCTCCATAGTCCTTTTCTTGCCACATTAGTATGCTCAACTGTTTCTAACATACAGGATAATGATAGGAACCTGCCATTTAGTGTGGTCAAGGATGTAAGGTCTCTCCCAAAACAGGAAGACAGGCTTCATCCCTTTCTTGAAGTCTTTAAAACCTGGTATTACTGTACTTCTAAGCGTAACTGGCCTTGCAGTTACAGTGCGTTAGAAAATGTTATGCTGCATGGGCTTGCCAATTAAATTGCCCAGGAAGATGCCACTGGTTGAGCTAGCTGAAATGGTGAGTCTTCAGCATCGTTTGCCCTCTGTTCTGTAACTTGTCCTCAGCTCTCACCTGAATTGAAAGACCCCTTTTGCTGGGGATGGTGCATGACTTGATCTTTAGCTTCGTGAAAGAACGTGGCAAAAAATAAAAATATTTGTGACTTTCTCCATAACACTAATGTCACCCTCTCTGATGGCTTAAACTGTGAAACAGTTTTAGGAAATAAAGGAAAACTAAGGCAGGGAAGATAGATTTCTTGACTTTTCTCTCCCCGTTTGCAGTGTAGCATTATCATCTTCTGAACCTATTACCATCCCCAGGGACGTGGGGTTAGACTAAAGGAAAAAAAAGTGTTCTTGATTTAAAAGTCGTGCATCCCCAGGCTTGGCCTGAACTTTCCTTTATCGAGAGCTTGTTCTTAAACTGGCATTCTGCAGCTGAATGCTGAAATGTGTCCCTGCAGGCGAGATGACTGTACCACACCATCTTAGATTAGTTCCAATTTGTCAGCCTCACCTTCCGGAGATGAAACCCTATACTGGCACCGAAAGGGATGTGTTTCTTAGTCTGGGCAGCTCTTCACTGAGGTATCCCAGAAATGCCATGACAAGCCAGTTGAAATACCCTGGCCGTTCTCTAAAGGCTTTGTTGCATGACCCGGTAAGGCTTCCTGTTCCTTGTCGTTTCTGTCTTGCCTTCAGTTAGTTAGCTGTGACAGTATCAGCCTTCAGTAAATTAAAGCCATGAATTAGCTGAAATGTTCTGAACTGTCATCACTACAGTATCCTTCTAGCTTGATTGTAGGGACTGCAAGAATTTCTATGAATGGGGAGAAGAGGGCACACACTGATTCTAATCCTTTCTTGTTTCACTATCAGGTACGACATTTTTGGAGTTAACTCATTTTTTACTGCTTGCTTGTGTGAGGGGTTAACAAAGCAATTTGTTGGATGGAAAGGTGAAGAGTTATGCCCAGACTGGAAAGCCAAATTCACCATAAACAGTGTCAGAGTCCATACTGCAATGAAAGCTGTGTTGGGGTGAAATGTTTTGGACAAATGGTTTGGACAATTTTTACCCCAGAAATGTAGTTTTGTAAGGACTGAAATGGTTTGTGGAAGTGAGTTGAATTTGGCAAATTGTTTCAAGTGAAAAAAGGGAGCTGGGAAGGCTTGAGAAACATTTTAAATGATTCATATCAGCATTTTATAAAGGACGTTCTTCTCTTGTTTGTTAATGGCATCATTTGTTCAAAAGATGACCTTTTTTAAAGATCCCTTTTGAAGAGTCTGAAATAT